TTCCCCACACCCCATGGCTTCTGCTTCCCCCTCAAGGCACTGGGCATGATGCCGTTCAACCCACCCACCTCCAGGATGGCCAGCAGGAGAGGAGGGCCACTCCCCGCCCAAAGAGAGATGCAGAAGGCCTCAGAGGCTCGGCCACTTTGTGGTTCTCAACCCTGATTGCACCAGAGTTACCAAGGAGCTCTGAAGAAACACCAGTACTGGAGGTGTGTTGGTGACCCTGACTGCAGCCCTTGGCCAAGGTTGGCACGGGTTCGGGAAAGAGAGGCCCCGGGCACCCTGAATAGGTTCAGGCCTTCACCCATCCAAGGACAGAGAAGGCGGCCACCACAGAAGAGGGGGCAGCTCAGCCAGGCAGAAGGAGCACAGAACCTGGAGGTAGACGAACACCCACGACTCATCAGAATAGGTTCTCAAGCTTCCAGAACGGCAGCTTTGAAGCTGAGCCTTGGGGGTCCCTCAGAGAAGGAAGAGGAAGAGATGTAGGAGGTAGAGGGCAAGGGGGGCCGACAGACAGCAAAGCTACCCCCCGCACCACCACCGCTCCCTGTGTGTTTCCCATGGGTTTTTAAAAATCTGCGTCTTCTGTCTGAATGGCTGTGGGACTAAGGGGAACTGTGTGTCTGGCAGAAAAGGGAGCTTTGTTCTGCGTGGGGAAGCTGTCAGATGCCACAGGGAGGCCCAAAGAACCGCGGGGACCCAGAGCCCGCAAATGAAGTGTCAATACAATCAAAGGTTATTCACAATCACCAGCAAGTAGAAACAGCCCAAGTGTCCGTCAACTGGTGAATAAATCGACAAAAGGTGCTCTATCCAGGCAACGGAATATTATTCAGCCATAAAGAGGACCGAAGTCCTGACACCTGCTACAACATGCAGGAACCTCAAAAACATGATGCTAAGTGAAATCAGCCAGACACAAAAAGCCACAGAGCGCATGCTTCCATTTACATGAGGCGTCCGAAGAGACCAATCCAAAGACAGAAAGCAGATGAGTGGTTGCCGGGGGCTGGGCTGGGGTCAGGCAGGGATGGGAAGCGGCTGCCAATGAGTGTGGGGATTTCTTTTGTGGTCCCTCCGCCACAAAAAATGTTCTAAAGTTAATTGTGATGGTTGCACAACTCAGAATTTACTTAAAAACACAGAATTGGAAAGCATGTGATTTATATCTCAATAAAGCTTTTCCACTGAAAAAAGTTGGTGAGAATTAAATAACACATAGGATGATAATTTTTGAAAGCTGGAAATGATGCTTTAGTTTATAGCAGCGGCAGGAAAATGCTGTCAAAGGGAGTGATTTTCCACCACTGACAATGTACTAAGCATCGCACATCCGTCACTGTATCTTGAGAACAGCGTTCAAACCTTGTCCACTTTACAGATGGAGAAACGGTCCAAGAGGAACCAGTGGCCACCTGAGGCCACACGACTAATACAGAACCAGCCGGGATCCACACTCAGGTCTGATGAACTCCAGGGTCTGAGCCCTTCACCCCAGCCCCATCCTCCAGGCATATTTTCCCACCTCATGTAGGTGAACTCCTGGAATCTCATGAATCTCAAGAGAAAGCCGTAAGCCAGCACGAAGTGGAGGGGGCCAGGGGAGAAGGAACAGAACAAAACTCCAGGATTGCAAAAGCAGCTCTCACAGATTTATGGCTCCCGGCTGATCTATTAACGCATCACAACAAGGAGAGGTGAACAAATGGGAAATGCGGTGTGCCATTTCAGTAACAAACCATAAATAAACAAGCACCTGCCAGGCGGCTGCCCAGCCAAGGAGCCAGGACCAAGCTTTCTGCGGAGAGATGCAGGCTCCCCAGACGACCACTCCCTCCCCCACCTACGACCTGGGCTGCAGAGACACCAAAGGGCGCGCAGATGGGGGCAGCACAGCGCCAGCCCAGGCCCAGGACCCCAGCCTCGTGCAGGTGTGCAGGCTTCAAGGACGGGAGGGCGCACCAAATAGATGTTCTGAGAGGTAGAGACCCATGTGTGGGTGTCAGGAGTGGGATGTTGCACAGCAGGCTTCTCTGAGACCTCCTCCATCTGGAACTTCTCAAAGGCCCCGCCAGGGCTGATGTCACCGGCCAGAGCTGCCCCCTTGCCACAGCCCCACTCCTCGAGGGTCAAGGGTCCCAGGAGTCTGGGGCCTTCTTGTCTGGAACCACCCCACCCGACACCCCTGCCTGGGGAGGTGCAGCCAGGCTTTGAAGGATGCCCAAGCACCTCCTCCCTTTCTGCCCACTCTCATGATCCCTGGAATCCTGGCTGCCAGACACTTGGTCCGCAGAGCAGGCAAGGACGGCACACGTGTCTCGTTCAGGAGGCTGTCTCAACCGTGGCATCACTCTTTC